TTCCTGTCCACGAGTTTTCGGTCGAGCAAGCGATTCCGGATCTCCAGACCAATCGCTCTCTATCGACACCCACTGCCCGCGTATCAGGGACGTCTTCCCGTTCACCTCCTCTTGCATCCTCATCGTCCTCCCCTCCTCGCATGTCCTCGCTGTCCAGGTGGCGCCACCCCGCTCTTGTGGAGGGTGCCCCAGTCTGCTTCCCGCGTTGCTCTAATTGCAACGTCCCTCTGTGCTCCTGTCTCGTCGTCCGCAGCGTTGGCAGCAGATCACTCGCGCATCGCGTTGCCGCTGGCGACGTCGCTACATGATCCGCGGCCTGCCCTTCAAGCCAGGAGTCCTGTGCCTCTGTGCCGAACGGGTTGCCATGCCTGCCCTCCACCGGCCTCGACCAGGCAGTCTTCGCCGCAATCCTCTCTTCCCGCTCTCTCCGCTGCCCTTGCACCTTTTCGTATTCCGCCGCCATCTGCGTACGCTGCGTCAGGGTGGTGAAGTCGTGAAACCTTACGTATAGCCGGTAGTCTGGAGCAGCGTTCTCGTAAGCTCGGTACAGCTCCTGTGCCGCGCTGTATTTCGCCCGACGCATCAACAGCCTGAGTTCAATCAGGTAGTCCCTGAAACTCTCTCCCTCTCTTTGATGACGTGGCCTTATATAGTCTTCTAAGCGTTCGAAGTACTGAGGGGGGAGGAAAAAGTCCAAGAATTCTCGTCTGAAATCTGTCCACGACGAGTCCCTCAGTCCGCTGGTCAAGAACCATTTATCCGCCTTGTCTACGAATACCACACTGATCGCTCGTGGTATCCGATCCAACTCGATGCCGTCAATAATCGCTCGCTCCTCCAACATCTCCACGAAACCCAACGGATCTGATCGGCCGTCATACTCCATACCCCATTTCCGTACTTGCTCAGCGATGACCCACGGCGGGTACCTCTCCGGCGCTACCGAGGGTGCGTGCAACCGATGACTCGCCTTCGGTGCCGCGCCACCCAAGGCGAAATTGTGGCATTCTCCTCCCTCCATCTTCGTATCCAAATAACCTCTCCGGTTCCGCTCCGTTCCGCTTAATCTACCCTTATCCACCCAATCAAATTTATCATACCCTTTTCCTTCATTTTCCTGATCTCTCTATTTTCCTTTTGTCTTTATCTTGTTCTATTTCTCTTTATTTTACTTTTCTTTATTTCATCTTAATCTATTTGTCTTTATATACTTTCTCGCATTTAATCTTATTCTATTTTTTTTTTTTTTTTTTAATTAGTTCCTTTTCTTTTCTCTTTTAATTTTTTTTTGGTGTCTTATTTTATTTGCTTTTTGTTTTCTTCTTCTTAATTTTTTTTTTAGTTTCTTTTCTTCTCTTTGTGACTTATCTTATACAATTTTACTTACATTTACCATCTTATTTCATTTCATTTCCTCTTACCTTCTTAATCTAATCTTTGTTCACTTATTCTAGCTTTATTTTGTTTTCTTTATTTCCTCTTAAACTGTTTCGCTATTCTCTTTTGTTTCTCTTTACTTTGTCTTAATCTATTTAATTTTCTTTCATTTTCTTTATTCCATCTTAACTTATCTCTTTCCTTTTCGATTCTCTTTATTTCCCTCTTAATTAATTTCTCTTTGTTCGCCCTTAACCCATTTCATTCCTTTTCGCTCTCTCTATTCGCTTTTATTTTATTTTTCTTTGTTCGCTCTTAACCCATTTAATTCTTTTTCGCTCTCTTTATTCGCTCTTAATTTTATTTTCCGTTAGTTTAACTTACTTTATTTCATCCTCATTACCTTACTTTTACTTTTCTTGATTAATGTTCTTTCGTTACCTTCGTTTAATTCTCTTCGTTACCTGACTCCATCTTCATTTTCTACTTGCTCTCTTCATTTTACTCTTGCTTAATCTTGCCTCGTTCTCTTTGCTTTGCCTACCCGCTTCAGGAATTCATACTACTTCACCCTGCTTTACTCCGATTTGCTCCGCCTTGTTTATTCGTTATATATCTTTTTTTTTCTTTTTTTATTTTTTTTTTATATTATTTTATTTTATTTTATATTATTTTATATTAGTTTATTTTATTTTATTTTATTTTATTTTATTTTATTTTATTTAATTTAATTTTATTTTATTTTATTTTATTTTATTTTATTTTATTTTATTTTATTTTATTTTATTTTATTTTCTTTGCTTTTCTTTTCTTTTCTTTTCTTTTCTTTTCTTTTCTTTTCTTTTCTTTTCTTTTCTTATCTTTTCTTTTCTTTTCCTTTCTTTTCTTTTCTTTTCTTTTCTTTTCTTTTCTTTTCTTTTCTTTTCTTTTCTTTTCTTTTCTTTTCTTTTTTTGCAATTTTTAAGTAATCCCTTATAAATCGCCTATAGTAAACTGACAATCTCAAGGAGGTTCGCAAAGATTTTAGCGTACATGGTTCCGGAAAGACTTTGATTGCTTCAACTGTAAAGTAGTAATTTTATAGCTGGAATAGACTCAGTCTGCCCAGGGTATACTCACAAGAAATTTTTACTAGAATTGTGTAACACCAGGGGGGGGGGATGTTTAGTAATATGACCGTGAATAGGGAAAGAGGGGGGAGAAATTCAACATGGGGAAGGCCACTCACGTGCACCTCTTGCTTTGCAATCCAACCTTACACTCGCCGTCGCCTCGCCGCCGTCCGATCCTTTGTTAGCTTCACGCATCCGCCTCAGTCGCTTCTCTTAATGAAATTATTCCCTTTTGTTTTCTGCTGCCAAGTTGTTTTACTTTTTACTTTTTCGATTTACTTAATCTAACCTCACTTAAAGAAAATCACTCGCACAATTTAGCTTTTACTCTTCTTCGCCATCTGACGGCTTCCGCTGCTTGAGCCCGACTCTTCGTCATCCGACGACCTTTGCCGCTTAACCCCGATTAACTCTCGCTTTTTTCTCTCGTTCGCCCAAAGCGCTCGGCGTCGGCGACGCAACTGTCCGCTCAAACTCTCCACGCGAGGTTGTGTCGCCGATCGCCGATAAATCATCAGCACTTTGGGCGGCCTTTTCAAACACAAATTTAAATGCAAACTAATACTACTTAATTTACTAAATTCAACATAAGAATCTTATTCTATACCAAAAATTCCAATTTAATACTTCATTTTTTCCCTCGCTCATTAATTCAACTAAACTAAAAACTGTTTCATATAACTTCTTGACAATCATCGTGAGGCGGTGATCGGCGAGTACATTCCCCGTTGTCCGCCGCCATGGGGATCTGGTAGCATCCGCTTTTCAAGTCCAGGATAGATATATATGGCGCACGTCGTAACCTCTCGAGGATGTGGTTGATCCTTGGAACGGGGTAGTCGTCCGGGATCGAGTGGGCATTTAGCTGTCGGTAGTCCGCACATACGCGCCAATCTCCAATCATCTTCTTTACTAATACGAAGGGCGCGCTTCGCGAACTCCGCGATGGCTCGATAGCCCCAGCTCGGATCCACTCGTCTACCTGTTCATCAATCACTCCTTTCATGGCCGGATTCTTGGGATAATGCCTTCGTTTATCATCCCGCATCCCTATACCATGCTCGGTTACACTCGACACTGCTTCCAGTCCCCCAAGAAACGCCAACTTCGACCCCAGAAGCTCCTTCCGCTTGTCCTCCAGATCCTCCGGCCACCCTGTGTCGCCGGGAGAAGATTCCGCATTCTCTTCGTCCTCTTCGCGACCTCCTGGCCCTTGCGGTGGCGGCACCACCTTGACTTTCACCATCGACATCCGCTCCCAGTGCTTCTCGCACCTCCCACGTCGCTGAGCTACTCTGAAGCTTGCCCACCATCTCCAATTCCTTCGCTCTTGCTGTTAGCGGGGAGCCCTTTTGCTCGCCCCGCACCTCCGCTGAACGTCCCACATCATCTAGGAAAATATCCGATTTCCTCCGCTTTCCGTTGTCTACTAGGCTCTGCGGCGACGGGCCACTCCGAACTTCGCCCACCATCTCCAATTCCTTCAACTTAGTTTCCTCGCTCCTCGGGCCCTTCCTCCAGATCCTTCGTTCTCGCTAGCTGAGGGCACTCTTTAAGTTCTTCCTCCAGCGTATTGCGACATCTCTTGATCGACCGGGCGGGCGACTCGCCATCATTCGACGTGCCCTGCTCATCGACCGGCAATCCTCCGCCCGCTGTAGCCGCGACCTTCTTTCGCGTCGGGGACCAACACGGCGCCTCGGGGCCTCTCTTCCATTCCTGTCCACGAGTTTTCGGTCGAGCAAGCGATTCCGGATCTCCAAAAAAAAGTCCAAGAATTCTCGTCTGAAATCTGTCCACGACGAGTCCCTCAGTCCGCTGGTCAAGAACCATTTATCCGCCTTGTCTACGAATACCACACTGATCGCTCGTGGTATCCGATCCAACTCGATGCCGTAAATAATCGCTCGCTCCTCCAACATCTCCACGAAACCCAACGGATCTGATCGGCCGTCATACTCCATACCCCATTTCCGTACTTGCTCAGCGATGACCCACGGCGGGTACCTCTCCGGCGCTACCGAGGGTGCGTGCAACCGATGACTAGCCTTCGGTGCCGCGCCACCCAAAGCGAAATTGTGGCATTCTCCTCCCTCCATCTTCGTATCCAAGTAACTTCTCTGGTTCCGCTCCGTTCCGCTTAATCTACCCTTATTCACCAAATCTAATTTATCATACCATTTTCCTTCATTTTCCTGATCTCTCTATTTTCCTTTTGTCTTTACCCTTTTCCTCGTACCCCTCTCCTTCCATTTTTTTTCTTTATCTTATTCTATTTCTCTTTATTTTATTTTTCTTTATTTCATCTTAATTTATTTGTCTTTATATACTTTCTCGCATTTGATCTTATTCTATTTTTTTTTTTTTTTTTTTTTTTTTTTTTAAATTAGTTCCTTTTCTTTTCTCTTTTAATTTTTTTTTGCGTTCTTATTTTATTTGCTTTTTGTTTTCTTCTTCTTAATTTTTTTTTTTTTAGTTTCTTTTCTTCTCTTTGTGACATATCTTATACAATTTTGCTTACATTTACCATCTTATTTCATTTCATTTCCTCTTACCTTCTTAATCTAATCTTTGTTCACTTATTCTAGCTTTATTTTGTTTTCTTTATTTCCTCTTAAACTGTTTCGCTATTCTCTTTTGTTTCTCTTTACTTTGTCTTAATCTATTTAATTTTCTTTCATTTTCTTTATTCCATCTTAACTTATCTCTTTCCTTTTCGATTCTCTTTATTTCCCTCTTAATTAATTTCTCTTTGTTCGCCCTTAACCCATTTCATTCCTTTTCGCTCTCTCTATTCGCTTTTATTTTATTTTTCTTTGTTCGCTCTTAACCCATTTAATTCTTTTTCGCTCTCTTTATTCGCTCTTAATTTTATTTTCCGTTAGTTTAACTTACTTTATTTCATCCTCATTACCTTACTTTTACTTTTCTTGATTAATGTTCTTTCGTTACCTTCGTTTAATTCTCTTCGTTACCTGACTCCATCTTCATTTTCTACTTGCTCTCTTCATTTTACTCTTGCTTAATCTTGCCTCGTTCTCTTTGCTTTGCCTACCCGCTTCAGGAATTCATACTACTTCACCCTGCTTTACTCCGATTTGCTCCGCCTTGTTTATTCGTTATATATCTTTTTTTTTTATTTTTTTATTTATTTTTTTTTTATTATTTTATTTTATTTTATATTATTTTATATTAGTTTATTTTATTTTATTTTATTTTTCTTTTCTTTCCTTTCTTTTCTTTTTTTTTTCTTTTCTTTTCTTTTCTTTTCTTTTCTTTTCTTTTCTTTTCTTTTCTTTTCTTTTTTTTTTTTTTTTTTTTTCTTTTCTTTTCTTTCTTTTCTTTTCTTTTTTTTCTTTTCTTTTCTTTTCTTTTCTTTTCTTTTCTTTTTTTTTTTTTTTTTCTTTTTTGCAATTTTTAAGTAATCCCTTATAAATCGCCTATAGTAAACTGACAATCTCAAGGAGGTTCGCAAAGATTTTAGCGTACATGGTTCCGGAAAGACTTTGATTGCTTCAACTGTAAAGTAGTAATTTTATAGCTGGAATAGACTCAGTCTGCCCAGGGTATACTCACAAGAAATTTTTACTAGAATTGTGTGACACCGGGGGTGGGGGGGATTTAGTTTAGTAATATGACCGTGAATAGGGAAAGAGGGGGAGAAATTCAACATGGGGAAGGCCACTCACGTGCACCTCTTGCTTTGCAATCCAACCTTACACTCGCCGTCGCCTCGCCGCCGTCCGATCCTTTGTTAGCTTCACGCATCCGCCTCAGTCGCTTCTCTTAATGAAATTATTCCCTTTTGTTTTCTGCTGCCAAGTTGTTTTACTTTTTACTTTTTCGATTTACTTAATCTAACCTCACTTAAAGAAAATCACTCGCACAATTTAGCTTCTACTCTTCTTCGCCATCTGACGGCTTCCGCTGCTTGAGCCCGACTCTTCGTCATCCGACGACCTTTGCCGCTTAACCCCGACTAACTCTCGCTTTTTTCTCTCGTTCGCCCAAAGCGCTCGGCGTCGGCGACGCAACTGTCCGCTCAAACTCTCCACGCGAGGTTGTGTCGCCGATCGCCGATAAATCATCAGCGCTTTGGGCGGCCTTTTCAAACACAAATTTAAATGCAAACTAATACTACTTAATTTACTAAATTCAACATAAGAATCTTATTCTATACCAAAAATTCCAATTTAATACTTCATTTTTTCCCTCGCTCATTAATTCAACTAAACTAAAAACTGTTTCATATAACTTCTTGACAATCATCGTGAGGCGGTGATCGGCGAGCCTCCTCACACCCCCCTCCCCATTACTTAATAAGGAGACGACCACGGCTCCTGTGGCCGCCTCGCAATTACTCCCACGCAGCCAGAATCCCGAATCTAGTGCGACTGTGTCGGCGATCCCTGATGAAACTCCTTTTCCTCCAATTGACTCGCAGATTGGCCTTCATCAGTCGGTGGAAGACCTCCTTTCGATCCGCCGCATGTTGCTGTGCCTTTGCGACGCCGATCATAACGATGTCGTTCCGATATGTGAAAGCTTGCTGCTCCATATCCGGTGTTATGAACATGTCCAGCGCTCTCCATAACGTAGCGTTCGCTGAAGGTAACTCGAATAGCGTCATTCATCGTTGGCATACTCCTTTTCTTGGCACCGCGAATGCTGTACATTCCCCGTTGTCCGCCGCCATGGGGATCTGGTAGCATCCGCTTTTCAAGTCCAGGATAGATATATATGGCGCACGTCGTAACCTCTCGAGGATGTGGTTGATCCTTGGAACGGGGTAGTCGTCCGGGATCGAGTGGGCATTTAGGTGTCGGTAGTCCGCACATACGCGCCAATCTCCAATCTTCTTCTTTACTAATACGAAGGGCGCGCTTCGCGAACTCCGCGATGGCTCGATAGCCCCAGCTCGGATCCACTCGTCTACCTGTTCATCAATCACTCCTTTCATGGCCGGATTCTTGGGATAATGCCTTCGTTTATCATCCCGCATCCCTATACCATGCTCGGTTACACTCGACACTGCTTCCAGTCCCCCAAGAAACGCCAACTTCGACCCCAGAAGCTCCTTCCGCTTGTCCTCCAGATCCTCCGGCCACCCTGTGTCGCCGGGAGAAGATTCCGCATTCTCTTCGTCCTCTTCGCGACCTCCTGGCCCTTGCGGTGGCGGACCACCTTGACTTTCACCATCGACATCCGCTCCCAGTGCTTCTCGCACCTCCCACGTCGCTGAGCTACTCTGAAGCTTGCCTACCATCTCCAATTCCTTCGCTCTTGCTGTTAGCGGGGAGCCCTTTTGCTCGCCCCGCACCTCCGCTGAACGTCCCACGTCATCTAGGAAAATATCCCATTTCCTCCGCTTTCCGTTGTCTACTAGGCTCTGCGGCGACGGGCCACTCCGATCTTCGCCCACCATCTCCAATTCCTTCAACTTAGTTTCCTCGCTCCTCGGGCCCTTCCTCCAGATCCTTCGTTCTCGCTAGCTGAGGGCACTCTTTAAGTTCTTCCTTCAGCGTATTGCGACATCTCTTGATCGACCGGGCGGGCGACTCGCCATCATTCGACGTGCCCTGCTCATCGACCGGCAATCCTCCGCCCGCTGTAGCCGCGACCTTCTTTCGCGTCGGGGACCAACACGGCGCCTCGGGGCCTCTCTTCCATTCCTGTCCACGAGTTTTCGGTCGAGCAAGCGATTCCGGATCTCCAGACCAATCGCTCTCTATCGACACCCACTGCCCGCGTATCAGGGACGTCTTCCCGTTCACCTCCTTTTGCATCCTCATCGTCCTCCCCTCCTCGCTTGTCCTCGCTGTCCAGGTGGCGCCACCCCGCTCTTGTGGAGGGTGCCCCAGTCTGCTTCCCGCGTTGCTCTAATTGCAACGTCCCTCTGTGCTCCTGTCTCGTCGTCCGCAGCGTTGGCAGCAGATCACTCGCGCGTCGCGTTGCCGCTGGCGACGTCGCTACATGATCCGCGGCCTGCCCTTCAAGCCAGGAGTCCTGTGCCTCTGTGCCGAACGGGTTGCCTTGCCTGCCCTCCACCGGCCTCGACCAGGCAGTCTTCGCCGCAATCCTCTCTTCCCGCTCTCTCCGCTGCCCTTGCACCTTTTCGTATTCCGCCGCCATCTGCGTACGCTACGTCAGGGTGGTGAAGTCGTGAAGCCTTACGTATAGCCGGTAGTCTGGAGCAGCGTTCTCGTAAGCTCGGTACAGCTCCTGTGCCGCGCTGTATTTCGCCCGACGCATCAACAGCCTGAGTTCAATCAGGTAGTCCCTGAAACTCTCTCCCTCTCTTTGATGGCGTGGTCTTATATAGTCTTCTAAGCGTTCGAAGTACTGGGGGGGGGAAAAAGTCCAAGAATTCTCGTCTGAAATCTGTCCACGACGAGTCCCTCAGTCCGCTGGTCAAGAACCATTTATCCGCCTTGTCTACGAATACCACACTGATCGCTCGTGGTATCCGATCCATCTCGATGCCGTAAAAAATCGCTCGCTCCTCCAACATCTCCACGAAACCCAACGGATCTGATCGGCCGTCATACTCCATACCCCATTTCCGTACTTGCTCAGCGATGACCCACGGCGGGTACCTCTCCGGCGCTACCGAGGGTGCGTGCAACCGATGACTAGCCTTCGGTGCCGCGCCACCCAAAGCGAAATTGTGGCATTCTCCTCCCTCCATCTTCGTATCCAAGTAACTTCTCTGGTTCCGCTCCGTTCCGCTTAATCTACCCTTATTCACCAAATCTAATTTATCATACCCTTTTCCTTCATTTTCCTGATCTCTCTATTTTCCTTTTGTCTTTACCCTATTCCTCGTACCCCTCTCCTTCCATTTTTTTCTTTATCTTATTCTATTTCTCTTTATTTTATTTTTCTTTATTTCATCTTAATTTATTTGTCTTTATATACTTTCTCGCATTTGATCTTATTCTATTTTTTTTTTGTTTTTTTTTTTTAAATTAGTTCATTTTCTTTTCTCTTTTAATTTTTTTTTTTTTGCGTTCCTATTTTATTTGCTTTTTGTTTTCTTCTTCTTAATTTTTTTTTTTTAGTTTCTTTTCTTCTCTTTGTGACATATCTTATACAATTTTGCTTACATTTACCATCTTATTTCATTTCATTTCCTCTTACCTTCTTAATCTAATCTTTGTTCACTTATTCTAGCTTTATTTTGTTTTCTTTATTTCCTCTTAAACTGTTTCGCTATTCTCTTTTGTTTCTCTTTACTTTGTCTTAATCTATTTAATTTTCTTTCATTTTCTTTATTCCATCTTAACTTATCTCTTTCCTTTTCGATTCTCTTTATTTCCCTCTTAATTAATTTCTCTTTGTTCGCCCTTAACCCATTTCATTCCTTTTCGCTCTCTCTATTCGCTTTTATTTTATTTTTCTTTGTTCGCTCTTAACCCATTTAATTCTTTTTTACTCTCTTTATTCGCTCTTAATTTTATTTTCCGTTAGTTTAACTTACTTTATTTCATCCTCATTACCTTACTTTTACTTTTCTTGATTAATGTTCTTTCGTTACCTTCGTTTAATTCTCTTCGTTACCTGACTCCATCTTCATTTTCTACTTGCTCTCTTCATTTTACTCTTGCTTAATCTTGCCTCGTTCTCTTTGCTTTGCCTACCCGCTTCAGGAATTCATACTACTTCACCCTGCTTTACTCCGATTTGCTCCGCCTTGTTTATTCGTTATATATCATTTTATTTTTTTATTTTTTTATTTTATTTTTTTATATTTATTTATTTATTTATTTAAATTATTTTTTATTTTATATTATTTTATATTATTTTATATTATTTTATATTAGTTTATTTTATTTTATTTTATTTTATTTTATTTTATTTTATTTTATTTTCTTTTCTTTTCTTTTCTTTTTCTTTTCTTTTCTTTCTTTTCTTTCTTTTCTTTTCTTTTCTTTTCTTTTCTTTTCTTTTCTTTCTTTTCTTTTTTCTTTTCTTTTCTTTTTTTTTTCTTTTCTTTTCTTTTTTTTTTTTTTTTTTTTTGCAATTTTTAAGTAATCCCTTATAAATCGCCTATAGTAAACTGACAATCTCAAGGAGGTTCGCAAAGATTTTAGCGTACATGGTTCCGGAAAGACTTTGATTGCTTCAACTGTAAAGTATTAATTTTATAGCTGGGATAGACTCAGTCTGCCCAGGGTATACTCAGAATTTTACTAGAATTGTGTGACACCAGAATAGGAAAAGAGGGGGAGAAATTCAACATGGGGAAGGCCACTCACGTGCACCTCTTGCTTTGCAATCCAACCTTACACTCGCCGTCGCCTCGCCGCCGTCCGATCCTTTGTTAGCTTCACGCATCCGCCTCAGTCGCTTCTCTTAATGAAATTATTCCCTTTTGTTTTCTGCTGCCACGTTGTTTTACTTTTTACTTTTTCGATTTACTTAATCTAACCTCACTTAAAGAAAATCACTCGCACAATTTAGCTTTTACTCTTCTTCGCCATCTGACGGCTTCCGCTGCTTGAGCCCGACTCTTCGTCATCCGACGACCTTTGCCGCTTAACCCCGACTAACTCTCGCTTTTTTCTCTCGTTCGCCCAAAGCGCTCGGCGTCGGCGACGCAACTCTCCGCTCAAACTCTCCACGCGAGGTTGTGTCGCCGATCGCCGATAAATCATCAGCGCTTTGGGCGGCCTTTTCAAACACAAATTTAAATGCAAACTAATACTATTTAATTTACTAAATTCAACATAAGAATCTTATTCTATACCAAAAATTCCAATTTAATACTTCATTTTTTCCCTCGCTCATTAATTCAACTAAACTAAAAACTGTTTCATATAACTTCTTGACAATCATCGTGAGGCGGTGATCGGCGAGCCTCCTCACACCACCCCCCCTCCCCCCCCTCCCCTTTACTTAATAAGGAGACGACCACGGCTCCTGTGGCCGCCTCGCAATTACTCCCACGCAGCCAGAATCCCGAATCTAGTGCGACTGTGTCGGCGATCCCTGATGAAACTCCTTTTCCTCCAATTGACTCGCAGATTGGCCTTCATCAGTCGGTGGAAGACCTCCTTTCGATCCGCCGCATGTTGCTGTGCCTTTGCGACGCCGATCATAACGATGTCGTTCTGATATGTGAAAGCTTGCTGCTCCATATCCGGTGTTATGAACATGTCCAGCGCTCTCCATAACGTAGCGTTCGCTGAAGGTAACTCGAATAGCGTCATTCATCGTTGGCATACTCCTTTTCTTGGCACCGCGAATGCTGTACATTCCCCCGTTGTCCGCCGCCATGGGGATCTGGTAGCATCCGCTTTTCAAGTCCAGGATAGATATATATGGCGCACGTCGTAACCTCTCGAGGATGTGGTTGATCCTTGGAACGGGGTAGTCGTCCGGGATCGAGTGGGCATTTAGCTGTCGGTAGTCCGCACATACGCGCCAATCTCCAATCTTCTTCTTTACTAATACGAAGGGCGCGCTTCGCGAACTCCGCGATGGCTCGATAGCCCCAGCTCGGATCCACTCGTCTACCTGTTCATCAATCACTCCTTTCATGGCCGGATTCTTGGGATAATGCCTTCGTTTATCATCCCGCATCCCTATACCATGCTCGGTTACACTCGACACTGCTTCCAGTCCCCCAAGAAACGCCAACTTCGCCCCCAGAAGCTCCTTCCGCTTGTCCTCCAGATCCTCCGGCCACCCTGTGTCGCCGGGAGAAGATTCCGCATTCTCTTCGTCCTCTTCGCGACCTCCTGGACCTTGCGGTGGCGGACCACCTTGACGCACCTCCCACGTCGCTGAGCTACTCTGAAGCTTGCCCACCATCTCCAATTCCTTCGCTCTTGCTGTTAGCGGGGAGCCCTTTTGCTCGCCCCGCACCTCCGCTGAACGTCCCACGTCATCTAGGAAAATATCCGATTTCCTCCGCTTTCCGTTGTCTACTAGGCTCTGCGGCGACGGGCCACTCCGATCTTCGCCCACCATCTCCAATTCCTTCAACTTAGTTTCCTCGCTC